ACATCCCATTATTCCAAATTGTGTAGCTGATTTTCTGTCACCCATCCTCTCCTCTTGTTCTTTCTTCCTTACTATAAGTCATGTGATGGATAGTGTAAGCCAACTGCCTGCAGTTGGCTTACACAATCCAGGTCATGGGGTTCAAGCAGTGACAGCTACATAAATAGTGGTAAATACTATCTTCCTCTAGGTCTGCAACTACCTTGTCCACAGCTATGCCTGAGGGTTTTAGCCTGCACATCTACTCTGTGCCAGCTGTACTCTGACAATGATTTAGGTTGACAGTGCTTGATACTATTCATAACATATCCAAACAGCTGGAGATCTGTAAGCATTGCAAGGATCATTTCCTCACTGGTAGACACAGAATAATGAGCCCCCAAAATAGAGTAACACAATAATCTAACATACCTTACAGGGTGTCCAAAATATATCAGAGTAGCACTGATGTGCACAGAGTTAATATTTCATACTTGGAGGATATATATGGGACAGTGGGTGAAGCGGAGCTGAGAGAGGGACTACAAGTCGGTAATTGGAATTAAGAGTAAATCATACCTGACACTACACCTTTTGAGGTCTGGGTCTGTCCAGGAGGCTAAAGTTTACAGGGGATAAAATTTAGATCAAGGACCTGTAAGATAATATAGACATACCATTGGTTTTTATTTGAAGTGCAGTCTGTGGTGCAGCAATATTCCAGACTTGGCTGAGGACCTATATATTAAACTCTGCTCAATGGGTGAAAGAGTTAATCAAACACAGTGAGATCTCCCTTAAAATTTGGGACCATAGCCTTGCCTCAGGGCTCAATGCAGGATAGAAGACTTACCAGAATCAGTGAGAGTGTAGATAAAAAGTTTGGGTAGCATCCTAGGCAAAGCACTGGCCAAATCCCTGTTGCCTGCTGCCAAAGCGGGATATAGGGACAAAAAAATGGGCTGCTGTCTGCTGCCAAAGCAGATTGCATCCAAGAGCAGGCCACATCCCTTTGCCTGCTGCCAAAGCGGGTAATTGGGACATACAAATGGGCAGCTGCCTGCTGTCAAAGTGGGCTGCATTCCAAAGTAGGCCACATCCTTGTTGCCTTGTTGTCTGCTGCCAAAGCAAGTATTAGGATATGACATGAAGTGCTGCCTGCTGCCAAAGTGGGCTGCATCTCATCTTTCTGCTGCCAAAGTAGATGTTAAAGAGGGGCAGATGAGAACAAGAGGTATATAATAATCACAACACACAGTTGACCAAATATCCTGATATTTGGTAGACTCTTGATTGACAAGGAGCTTCTGTGACTATGTAGAAGCTCTGACGGATGACATTTATTGACTTTTGAGGTAAGTGTTCTAATCCTTTTATAGGTTGGTTGGTCACAATATCCTTACAATAGCCTGAGTCCAAATATGGTAGCCATCAGGCCTCAGGATATTGCAAATATATACTTGGGATATTAGCTAATATACTGGGCATATTCTGACCCTGCATATTGTGGGTATTTCCTTGGGATATATGAAATATACTGAGTATATACAATCACAGGATATTGCAAATATATGCTGTGGATTTTTGTAATATACTTAGGATATACATACAATATACAGCCCAGTTATATTGCTCTATGCCTGCAGTGTAAAAGCCTACCTGCTATGGCCGGGCACATTGGTAAAATTTAGTAACATAGCATACCGTCGAGGAATGACACAGTGTCCCGAAATACATGTTCAGCATGAAATAGAAGCAGCTCCACTTAAGTTCTAGACGGTCCGAGCCACTTCAGGACTTAAGTCTTTTGGAACTTAAGTTCTCCCCCAGGCGTGCCAGCGCAGCCGTATGTGCCCCTTAGTAATGGAGCAACTTAAGTCCTATCTATATTTAACTCAAGTCCTCCCCGACCACTTAAGTTCAGTCCACGACTTAAGTTCTACCAAGCACTTAAGTTACTTGTGTGACTGTCAGTGAATGCAATGAAATGAAAACTTAAGTTACACCCAAATATCACTGTGGCTAGTACAACGACGAGCAGCGTGAGCACGCCACCCACTGAGTTTCTGCGTGTGCGGACATGTCTGGGGGTCTGTACGATGATTGAGTTTGAGACCGGAGCGTGTGGACAAGAATGGGACACACCAGATGTAGTGGGATGCGAAATGGATGTTCTCAGTGGTGACTGCGGCATGTGAGACATGGCCAAAGGTCGCAGTGAGTACCACAAAAGAAATGTGATGGGCCGATGTACACACCAAATGAACATTTAGCCAAGTGGCATGATGCCATCGAGCTTGGCGGCTGCCAGCTCAGAAAGTGTCCCTCAGATCCCAATGAGCCCTGACCAAAAAAGAACCTGGCAAGAGCTCACCAGAGTCAACAGAAGAGTAAGCCCTAGTTCGTTGGTTAGTGGCACATTCAGTTTGCGATAACTTGGAGGCGGTTGGGCGGCAGATCCACATGTTGGTGTTCTTGACAAAATAAATAAGAGGGTGGGAGGTTGTTGACCATTGTAGTTGTCGGCAATGGAGTCTAGTGGCATGGTGGTGGTGAAGGATGAAGTCGAGTCGAAGTCAGACAATGGGAAAATACCATCAATCAATCAGTTGGACTGCCGACACCACAACAAACAACAAAGAAGCAACCCTCTTCCTGGATGACCACCTCATCCTCATTCCTCGTTATCACTGTTGCCATCCTACCTGCTGAATCTTTGTCAGGGTGCCGTGACCTATGTACATTAACACCACTTCAAATTCAAACACCTCTTCAAAATGTGGTCAGTGGGAGGTCGGTGGCAAGTGTCGTCCATGCATTGATTTCAGGAGTTCTAATCCATTTCTTTCAGCAGACTCAACTGCAGTCTGCATCTGAGAGCTTGGAAAGGGGACGTTGACAAAGAGGTACGGCTTTATTTTATCTTGACCTGTGGCATGGAACTGATGACATACCTGATAGGGTCTTGTTTATAATTCCTGGAGGATTATAAACGGTTTTTAAATTTTGGTTTATAAACAGGCCGTTTATAAACATGTTTATAAACATCTTCCCCCATATTGCCTAAAAAACGAGTTTTTCCACCTCCTCATCCCAAATTTTCTTCCCGGCCGCCTTCCTGTGACCCTGAACTCCGCCTACGACGTCTTCCGACCAATCTGTGAGACTCCGGATCGCATCCGCCCCTTCAATGGGCTTATCTGCGAGTAAATCCCTAAAGAATGGTAACCAAATGTCGACACCATCACGAAGTACATTGAGTGTTGTTTGCGAAACTGCACCAGCCGGAGGATTATCATCCTCGTCATCATCGACCGCATTCGGTACCTCCAATCCAGCTTGACATTAAGGTGTGACACTGGTTGAGCATTTCAAATTTTTCAGTGAAAATATTGGTAAAAAACTTTCTTTATTTTTCACACTTTTTTCACTGAAAAAGGAGGGGAAAAATATATGACTTTTTCAGCACTTTTTGATTTTATTTCGAATTTTTCACCTTCACATGAAAAAGTACTAAAAAAGTTTTGAATTTTTCATAGACTTTTTCAGTGAAAAAAATGTGAAAGATGAAGGAAGGTTTTCACCAATATTTTCACTGAAAAACTTGAAATGCTCAACCAGTGTGATGGATGGGGTCACGTAATTACTAATCCGTGAAATTGTGGGCTTCTCATCGGAATGCTCTCCGGCAAGGCCTTAAGCAAGCAAACCGAGTGCTTGAGTTCCTTGTCATAGTAGCTGAGCCCGGAGAGAGACATAACGACTGGAGCTCGACACAGAACTGGAGTGAAAATTCGCTGATTGTCGACCGTGATAACGCCGGATATAATTAAAAACCGGTCATTTTGGCCAGACCATTTAAAAACCGGTTTATAAACCGGTGTTTATAAACCGGTTTGTAAAACGGACTAATAAACAAGACCCTAATACATGAGTCATGCCAGCAGCCAGACTGAAGTCCGTGGACAAAACTTGAGTTTCTTCAGAACTCAAGTTCGTGCGCAGAACTGAAGCCAAGGTAGAACTTGAGCTCCCCGGAGCTTAAGTTCCGCTCGGACTCAAGTCGTTATACAATGATTGTATGAACTTTCAAATCTCGACTCCTTTGAACATCTTAAGTTTGTGTGAACTGACAACCTAAGTTCCAATGTATACAGGGAATTATATACCACTATGTATACTAGCAGAACTTAAGTTAGATAGAACTTATGATTTGAGTCGGTTACGACCGCCTACAACTTAAGTGGAGCTAATAAAGTATTTGGTTCAGCTACAATCTTTACACGCCATCAACTTTCCACGTGGTAACATGCGATCCACGACCGATCTTTATTCCCGCGAAGCCACGCAGCACAATATTGTCTTAGATAGTTGTAGGTCTCCCACTGGATGTTCTCCATGCTCAAGTCTATGAGACCAGCTTCATGGCATAGGCCTCCAGCCCTCGGAATATATTTCCGCGCGTTGATCCAATCACGTGAAAGATGTTCAGAATGTTCAAGGCCGGTATCCAGGAACGGCTTAACCGATCTGCCTGATACGTTCGGCCCTTTGATCTATATACCACTCTCAACCATTGGAGGTATGCAGCGTCTGGGCTGGGACATTGGTGAATAGTAGAGCCCCATCGGAGGCCAATATGCCATTGGTTTGTTGTCTTTCATTGGGCGCATGGTGTAGTTGGTTATCGCGCTCGCTTAGCGGATCGATTATCTGCGTGATGACCCCTGAGCGAAGCGAAGGGATATCACCATTTCTCCGCGAGGACAGGGGCGGCGATCCCGGATGGCATTCCCCTCTGAACCATTTCTCGCCAGGCCTCGTGAGCACCGAGCTTGCGAGGGGTTGAGGGCCCAGGTGATCCAACTGGCATGGCGAGGATTGACCAGCGTGGCAGAGGGATACAGCCGCACTGCACAGAAATGCTTGTTAGACATGGCGGCGACGTGTCGACACCCTTGGTGTCACGTCTGACGCGCAGATCTCTCGGATGGGATGAGCATTTTTCAGGTTCCTTCATCGGGCTCATGGTGAAGATGGTTTATCACGCCTGCTTAGCATGTCCGCAATTGCAGGAGGTCTGGAGTTCAAGTCTCCATGAGTCCAAAACCTTTTGTTTGATCGAGCAAATGCTGAGCCTCGTGACCTCCCCGCATTAGGAATAAATACAGACAAACATAGTCATTTAAATACCTCCGAAGGCCGCTCGTGACCTGGCCGCATTTTGGACGCGACCCTCATATTGTCAATTTCTCGTGAATTTTTTCTTGGACACTCTACGATGAGTATTGTGTGTGCTCCCACGCAGGTGGGATCCCCGGCACTGGCCCCCTCGCAAGCTCGGGGCTCATGGGGCCGGAGAGACATGGTTGCATGCTCCCGCCGTGCTCGGATTGGGGTCCCTTCTCCTTAGGTTCAATTCCCAATGCGTCCAGCCTTTTGCTTCATCAGAAGATGGGGAAACATCTTTCCCCTCCCGAATTTCATGTGTCACTGAAATTAGCAGCATCAATAACTTTAGAGGAAGCTTGTCGATTTTGGCGGGGCTTTTTAGCAGCGGCCTGGCTAAGGTCGCACGAGGGGTGCGTCGACATCCTGGCAAGTGCGAGAGGTTTCTGAGACGTGTCACCTCACAGATGTCACGAATTTATATGCCTGGCGGTGTCAAGGATTTAACATGACCCAAAAGGAATTTACGAAAGCATTTAAAAACTGAGAGCTGCAGACTGCAACTCCGCCAGCCCTGCAGGTAACCGGTTAATCACCGCCGCCTGCCAAAAAAGGATTGAGCCAAGGTATCACCGCAATCATTTCATGGCCATCGGAGGCCGACCAAGGGTTTTTATTTGTAGTGCAGGCAGGTGTAGGCAAAGCGAGCGGCCGATGGTGGTGGGCGAGTGACAACAGACGAGCACGTAATTTGTTGATCCGGGCACCGGAGAATCGCAAGATAGCCGTGTTACGTGCTTAAGTTAAGGTTCCATCCCTCCTTAATCCCCACCTCTCAAAAAAATAATTGTTTACCATTTACTTTTCCGTTTATTTATTGTTTAGGGGAGTCCATAAACTAAACGAAAAAATAAACGGTTTTTAAAACAGAAAGAGTTGGAGCCTTAATCTGCGGGCTGCGAGGGTGTGTACCCCACCTTCTCCGTTGCATACCCCGCACCCCCCCCCCGCCGAGACCGAGGTCAGTGGCGACGCCCCCACACACATCTCCTCCATACTACCAAATTCCCCGCTGAGGTCTCGCGCGGCCAGAGGTACCGGTGATAGGGCGTGTAGCAAAACATGCATGAAAATCGAACTTTTCATTCATTTTATATGACTATCTAACAATACTAGTGAGGCTAGGTTCTAGAGTGTATCTTCTCCTCGGAACAGTACATTAGGCTGTTGAAGGCCGAAAGTCAACACAAACTACTATGATTATTGACTTGTGACAATACTGATGGGTCAGATTAAGCCAATAGTCCTCATTGTTGAGCAGCGGGTGTTGGCCCTTATGTGCTAGAGGTCAAACAAGAGGAATTAATATACTATCTTGAGATGGACTGCAGATTTGAACAAGGACTCGCAGTACAAGAAAGCGTTGAACCGGACGAGGTTGAACTTGAACTTGAACTCAGAATGATTGGCTGGTGATCAATTGAATGACCGGCAACCGAATATAGATAGATGGATGGAAACGGAATTAACTTCCTGTTCATCACGAATTGATGTAACTAGGGCAACTGATAGATTAAATGAAACAGACAGGCGCTATTGAGCTTGTAGCCTGCGAGCTCTTTACAGAGGGCTATAGGAGGATAGTAAAAGATTGAGAGAGATAACTAGAATATGGCCTGCTGGTTCCTCATGAAATGCCCTGCCTTGCCGAGGGTGTTGCGCAGCCAACAGGTTATTCTGGGAAGATGCAACAAATGAAAGATTGATTAAATACTCTGGCAACCAATTAATATACCCACGAATGGCTAATATTCGCCATGCCATTGGCCAGTGGTTGTCATCGGACCATTCCCGTTGTCATTCCAGTTGTTTAGCAGACTGTTCCGATTATTTCCGTTTATCCCCGTATATCACGCTCAGTTGTATATAAGTCATACCTTTGGTCCTGTATTAGTAGTGAAGCTTTCCCCTCAGATCAGGATATAAAGTTTAACTAGAGCACAGAATAGAGTGGACATCACAATAAGAATTGAATTTGAGACGTATAACAGAAGGACTGACCGCCCGCCGTCTAAGAGTGCTTGTTATAAGCCAACGGTCGCTGCTCAGTTTCAACTCAACTATTGTTGATGCTTGAGCTCCATAGTTGTTTTATCTGTCTATTCCTCGTTCTTTCAGTCCAGGTATTGAACCAACCTTAGTAGCTCTAAGCTCGGGTCAGAGTCTCAGCCAGCGTTGTATAGAAACTTCTATCTATAGTGTCTCGCCCCTTTTTGAATTGATTGGTCTTCTCGAACAGAGCTGCATTGAACGAGACACACTCAGCTATCTGAATTAGCCTGAGTTCCTACTATTGAATTGACTTTGCCCCACTCTTGAAAGGACGGTTCATATCTTTCCTTACTTCCCCCGAGCACACACACACGCGGAGTATATTTGAGGTTGGAGTTTGTTAGATTTAGAGTTCTGATTTCGGTTTGTGTTGGTTGAGTTCGCTCGTTAGCACTCCCTGAGTTGAAGTCTTGATTTCACGGCTGCACCCAAGTGCACCGTTTCACCGGCGCTCCTCGACGTCCTCGCGGAGGTCGCGCGTGATGTTCTCGTCTGCAGCAGCAGCCCCATTGAGTTGGAGAGCTCAAGATGTGTGGCGAAGGCAGGGGATTCCTTGGCAGAGGCGGCGATGAGCGATGAGCTCCGCGATGGAGTGGCAGTAGAGACTGTCGTCAGTGATGATCTCCAGCCCCAGCGCGGCGGTGTTCTTTTCATTGGAGTTGGAGGAGGCGGAAGATGTCTAGCCCCATCTTCGCAGCGATGCAGAGGACGGCAGCACGGTACGCCACGGGGAGGCGCGGGAGCTCATCGATGATGATGGGGTACAGCCACCGGTCTTTCTCCGCGGCCCGGAGTCAGAAGCACGGCGCGAAGGTGGGGAGGGGGAAGGTGCGGAAGAGAGGTTGCTTTCATCCATCAAGGACGGGAGTCATCCTTCGTGTCGAGCGCGCGAAGGACGAGGTAGAAGAACTTGAAGAACGAGGAACGAGCGATGGAGTCTGTCAAGAGAGACTGTGTGCACCCAGCATAATAATCAGCATGTTCTCATTCACTCCTATGCAAAAACGAGGGCATACTACATACCATGCGCACCAAATCGTCCTCGAATAGGACAAGGTTTCGCTCGAGAGCGCACTTAGGCCACCAGGCGGAGCTGCGGGTACAAAGGTGTGCCGAACGTCGTCGAGAAAAGTGTTGACGGTCACTAAGCACCGAATCAGCCGATGATGCTGCACCGGTCCGATCCCTCCCGATACAAACAAGACCATAAACATCCAACTTCTCGCGACGTGTTCGATTCACACGTTCTCCGACGATTAGAGCCCCGGAATTATGTTTAATCTCCTGTGCCCGATGGAGTGGAGGAATCCCCTCTTTATCTGCCCGCAGAATCCTCAAATGTCATCTGTATTGATGAATGTTCCGGTCGTTGACAACTTTATCGAAGAAATCTCAGGCCCTGTATTTTGATTTCATCTGGTGTGCAAAAATTCTCTCCGAATTGCTGTGTATGTCTCTCACGGAACTCGGAGAAAGGCTGTTACCATCACTATTCAATTGTGTTTTTCCCAAGCCCACAGCTGGCAAGCGGGATGATCTCCCTTCAACTGACCTGACATCGCTCTGCCTCAAATGAAAAAGTATCTATAGCCCAAGTATACCTTCTGTGAAGCTACATATTCTTCAAGATGTGTAATGCGCTCCCGGTTACATGATTAATGAACAGAGATGCATATGCATTCCCATCATCAGTGAAAATTAGGGTGATGAGTGAATGATGAGCCAATGAATGTTCAACTTTCCACATACACCGAGGATAGACCCCTTTCTATTGGTTACATGATTGATGAACAAAGATGCATATGCTTCGGGTTCCCATCATCAGTGCAGAATCAGGGGGATAATCATATGATGGGGCAATCAATGTTCACCTCCCACACACATGGATGATAAAGAGGACCGTGTCGCCAGCACAGTCCACATTCTTGCCCATCAGACCAAATGCCTTCTCAGCCTATTGCCACTGAAACCCGATTCAAGAACATTCTCAAATGCTTCACTATAGCAGTGGATACCTTGGAGGTCCTTGCTACTACATTCAAGACTCCTTTCTTGGAAGCTATCTCCAACACTGCAACGTCTTTGTTGACTTCTGTGGAGGTAAAATTTTACTACAGATCATAAAATGTATCTCACTTTTCCCAGACTGTCAAGCAAAACAAAAGTGATTGTACCCAATTGTTGGAGCAAACCTATGGGTTGCTCTGTGCAATTGTTTCTCTTCATATGAAGCCGGAGACTGGTCTGTATTTGACACCAAGCATGCTGAATGATCTTGGGAAATTCACAGAGTATGTTCCTCCCTGGCAATAGATTTTTTGCTGATTGCATGTCTGCAGCACACTCTACAAGATCCATACATTTGTGGAGGCCCAACAGGAGAAAAGCAAGATCAGACACTTTTTCCGTCAGGGAGAAATGAGCAAACTATTCAAGGATTGTAACTTGGGTTTACAAGAGGCGCTAGATCAATTCAAGGTAACATGGTTTAATGTATCATATGTACATGCCAGTACTCAACCTGACAAAAAAAACAGCTTCAGGATATCAATCTCCTCACTGAGGTTGTAGTGATGCAGAAAATTGCTGAAGAGAGACACCAAGAAGTTCTGGACTTGATTGAAGCCTTTTCTGATGGGACGGCTTCAGACAAAGGATCATTGGTAGGTGGACCTTGTATTCTGCCTGCAACGAGAAGTAACTTTTGTGCAGACAAATAGGGTCCTTTCCAGCTCTTACAACAGGTATGCTCCAAACTAAGATTAATAAAATTGAAGCTGATTCTATTATGATCAAGCTCAGCCTCAATTTCTATGCTGCCATCA